CTCCCGGCTCCCACTCCTCAAATGCCCCACTGGCTGCGAGAATCAGGGGCCCGCGCTGGCTTCTCCATGCCGGGCTGGACGTGCTACTGGGGTTGCTCTTGGCCCAGCCTGACGGGCAGTAAAACAGCTGCCCCGCCAGGGAACGGGGCAGGGAGAGACCGGTGACGAGCTGCTCCCAGGGGGTGGAGGGCTTCTCCCTGCAGCTTCCTCACTTGGGTTAATGGCATGAGGCTGCCGGGCACCTTTTGTGCTTCTTGGGCCAGGGCTGGGAGGTCCAGGATCCTTTGGGACCCCTGCAATGGAAGTATTGGCATCCGCTCCCGGGGATAAAGCCCCCTCGTTCCATGAGCTGGGGCTTGGGCCTGGCCGCACGGAGCCCCGTGCTCACCCTGCGCTCTTCCCGCCCGCTAGCCTAAAGAAGAACACGCACACGTACTTCTACACCAGCTTCGTGGCGTACATCTTTGGGCTGGGCCTGACCATCTTCATCATGCACGTCTTCAAGCACGCCCAGGTGAGCCCGCCGGCCTCGGCCCCCACCCGCCCTGGGAGGCCCCTGCTCCGTGTCCCTGAACTGAGGCTCCGTGAAGCCTGGCCGGATCTCGCGTTACAATCCAAGGGGGGGCAGGGATGGGCCGCCCGCCCTGGGGCCGCTGCAGCAAGTGGTGCTAGACGTGGGAGAGATGCTCTTGCAACAGTCCCCCTGCCAGGGGGAGGCAGGAGGCAACCAGGCCAGCAGGGCTTAGCTCCCGGGGGAGGGAGAGATGCTCTTGCAACAGTCCCCCTGCCAGGGGGAGGCAGGAGGCAACCAGGCCAGCAGGGCTTAGCTCCCGGGGGAGTGCGCGGTGGAAGAATTGAAAATTGAATTGTAAAGTGAGCGGATGGGTTCTGGGATTCCCAGCACTGCTGCAGGCATCTCTATGGGTAACTGGACTGGAGTGTCCTCTGGGGGGTGGTTCTGGCGGTGGGAAGCCGTGCTCGAGTGCTGAGAACTGCCTGCGGTTTAGTAGCACGGCACAGCTACGTGTCTGCTCTGGGTCTCGGTAGCAGGTGCACGGGGATCAGAACTACCGGGTAGTGGGGGGGATTCCCAGCTGCCCCCTCCCGGTGGGCGAGCGTGGCAGCCACTGTGCCCAGAGCGAATAGCTCCGCTAGCCTGGGGCATTGGGCTGTGCGGGGGCGGGGGCAGGACTCGGGTTCTCCCCTCTGGGGCAGTGTCCCGAGGTCACTAATCCGCATCCAAGTGGGTGCCAGGCAACCGGTCGGGCCTGGGCGATGGGAAAGTCGGCACCTGGAGCGCAAGGGAAAGGTCTGACCCTGAGCGTTCCCTCGTGCGGCAAACTCCTAATCTGGGGGCTGCGACTGGCCGGGGTCCTGAGACAAGCCAGCCCCGTTCCTCCCCCGGTCTCCGCTGCAGGCTTGGCTGGCTTTTCTGGGAGGCTTTGTGGCGTGGTTGGTCATTGGG